GGGGCGAAACCGGCCGGTCTGGTACCGGAACCGGTACCGGCCGGCACAGTATAATATCCAGTTACTCGGGGTGGCGGTACCGGAACCGGCGGTTCCGAAACCGGAACCGGAACCGTCCCGGAACCGTACCGTGTCCACCCCTAGATAGAATCAGACCAAAATAGATCTAATCGGATCAAATCAAATCCAATAAGATCATATCAAATCTTCAAAGAAGATCTATTCACTTGTGTAGGTTGTGTCATATTTGCCTCAAATAATCTTTAAATGCATTAAATCAGACTTAATTAGATCGAATTAGACCAAAACGGATCTAATCGGATCAAATCAAATTCAAATCTAGTAAGATCAGATCAAATATTTAAAAAAATTATATCGGATCTAATTAGATTGAATAAGACCAAAATAGATCTAATCAGATCAAATCAAATTCAAATCTATTAAGATCAGATCAAATCTTAAAAAAACAACTTAATTATATTTGTCGTGTCCTTTTTGGCCGATCTAATCTATAAATTCAAATCTAGTAAGATCAGATCAAATATTTTAAAAAATCATATCGGATCTAATTAGATTGAATAAGACCAAAATAGATCGAATCAGATCAAATCAAATTCAAATCTATTAAGATCAGATCAAATCTTAAAAAACAACTTAATTATATCGGTCGTGTCCTTTTTGGCTGATCTAATCTATAAATTCAAATCTAGTAAGATGAGATCAAATATTTAAAAAAATCATATCGGATCTAATTAGATTGAATCATACCAAAATAGATCTAATCAGATCAAATCAAATTCAAATCTATTAAGATCAGATCAAATCTTAAAAAACAACTTAATTATATTGGTCGTGTCCTTTTTGGCTGATCTAATCTATACATACATCAGATCAGATCAAACTAGATCAAATTAGACCAAAACAGATCAAATCAAATCAAATTCAAATCTAGTAAGATCAGATCAAATATTAAAAGACAATTTAATTGTATAGTTCGTGTCATGTTTGCCTCATGTAATCCTTAAATGCATCATATCGGATCTAATTAGATTGAATCAGACCAAAACAGATCTAATCGGATCGAATCAAATTCCAATCCAATATGAAAATCTATTCACTTGTATAGGTTGTGTCCTATTTGTCTGATCTAAATTTTAAATGCATTAGATTAAATCTAATTAGATCGAATCAGACAAAAATAGATCCAATCGGACTGAATCAAATTCAAATCCAATAAGATGAGATCAAAACTTGAAGGAAATCTATTCACTTATATAGGTTGTGTCCAATTTCCCTGATCTAATCTTTAAATGCATCAGATCATACGTAATTAGATCAAATCGGACAAAAACAGATCTAATTAGATAAAATCAAATTCAAAACCAATAAGATCAGATCAAATCTTCCAAGAAAATCTAAACTTTTATATATGTTGTGACCTATTTTTCTCATGTTATCTTTAAAAGGATCAAATCAGACATAATTAGATTGAATTAAACCAAAACAGATCTAATCTAATCAAATGAAATTTGAATATAATAAGATCAGATCAAATTTTCAAAGAAGATCTATTTACTTGTATAGGTTGTGTCCTAATTGCCTAAGATCTTTCCGGTACTGATAACTGAACTGGTTACTTGCACAGATCCAATTCTTCTAAATACTCATATTTTTGGCCATATAAGATCTTACAAGTACTGATAATAACAAGGTAATTGCGCAGATCTAATTCTTCTAAATACGTATACTTTTGAGCTAATACGATCTTATAAGTACTGATAACTGAACTTGTTACTCATACTGATCCAATTCCTTAGGATATTCATACTTTTGACCGTATAAGATCTTACCGATATTGATAACTGAACTGGTTACTTACACAGATCCAATTCTTCTAAATACTCATATTTTTGATCATATAAGATCCCATTTTAGATCTCTCCAAAAAACGTTTTCCTCCATCCCAAAAAGATTTTCTTACTTTGATTAACGTGTAAAACCCCGTGATTTTTAAAATCATATTATTTGCAAATTGGTAAAAAAAATAACACATAAAAAAATTATATTTAAAATCATTGTTGGAAGAAACTGGAAGGACATAGAAAAAATGGGAAGTTTTTTCTCTTCCCAATTTCATTCTTCCTCTTTTCTTGATGGCTTGCTATGGTGCGTGACTAGTAATTGTTCAATGTGGTGGCCAGTTAAATTGAATTGGTATTTTGGTCTCATCTTTCATATTGATGAACTAGCAGTCCAATGCCCATGGGTGATAATGGTTTGGACCTGATGTTTTTACTCTTGGAAAACTATTGCCTGGAAATGTTTGGACCTCCAACCTGCCCAACTACTTTGATGTGTGCCTGGGCAGGAAATTGGAACTGAAAAGGTTTGCTGGAGCTGTTGTTTTGACCTGCAATGGACTGAATTTTACGTGCTGCTGAAATCAAGACTAATTCCTGTGATTTGGACAGTGGCAACCTCATCACAGGTGGCCTTTTTTCTCATAGAATGCTGCTGAATTTCAAGGGTTTTTGTGTTGGGTTTGAGCTATTGATATATCTAGAAATTTGATACTTTCTTCGGCAACATACGGGCTGGAGTTTGGAGCTGTACTTGTTGCTGAATTTACTCCTGTTATCCCTGGTTTATCTTATGGAGGTAACTAGTGACTGAAATAGAGGTGCACTTGGGAGTGGTCTACTGGATGGTACTTAGAGGTGCACTTGGGAGTCAAATACCTTAGATTAGAGGTCATGAACTGTGTTTTGGGGCAATGATTGGAATGGAAGCTGAAACTGAACTATGGGGCACTGGTTTGCTGCTGGTTTGCACCGATTTGCTGCTGGTGTTGCTCCTGTACTTGGCCGAAAGCACTACTAGGAACACTACCAGGAAGTTGCTGGTTTTGGTTATGTTTATCGAGTGTTTTGAGCTGCTGTTTTGACTGCCCCAACCATAGGCAGTGGCACACTCTTGAAGGAAGTTGTGTGGCCATTGTTTGACACTTGATGGGGCTGGTTTGACCTTTTTGTGACATTGATTGAGGTTTCTTTTTCTTGGGGTTGTTTTAATCATTGTGAAGAGGAAGCATATTTAGAAAAGAAATCCAAGATGTCAACTCGAAGAACAAGACCCCCTCTAGTGCAAGGCTTTTTTTCAAACAATAATGGCGAGCCAAAGCTTATGTGCGATAGATATAGCGGACCCTTTATGTTCCTCGGGCCACCATTCTACATTCACTGTGGGTCCTACGTTCTATTTGGATTTTGCCATCTTCTTTTTGTTTCTTATGCTTTTATGAGTGAGATTGATTGATTGTATGAGTTCCCAATTCCCTTCGTGTGTAGCAGGACATTACACAGCCTCTCCATGTACTTTTTATATTCTTTCAATAGAAGTGTTTATTTTTTAAAATGATAATTTTTTTAAACATCGGTTATTTGATTGTTGTCTAAAGTTTCCCCAAAACTACGAAAGTAACGTTAGATAGCGTACACATATTCATTGTAGTGAAGGTTATCATTTCTTTGAACTTTAAAAAAGTTTGAGACTTAATAGCTAAACTACTTTTTAAAAAGAGTATTCTTAACTTATTATAAACAACTCTAGCAAAACAATCATATGACACAGTTCTACGCTTACTATCCACACTACTCTTTAAAAGAGTTTTTTTAACTTATTCTAGACAACTATGAAAAAAACCCGTGTGACACAGACTACTAGTAATACATTACCGTTTCTCATAACTTTAAAAATAGTTCTAGGCTTTATAGCTTGACTATTGTTTAGAATTAGTATTCTTAATTTATTATAGACAACTGTGGCAACAAAAACCGTATTTTGATATGACACAGACAACTACTAATAGATTACTGTTTCTATGAACTTTAAAAACCGATGTTGGCGAAGTATCTAGACTATTGTTAAAAAAGAGTATTGTATTCTTATTATAAACAGCAGTGCCAAAAATACTATATGACATAGACAACTTGCAATAGATTATTGTTTCTCATAACTTTAAAAACAGTTCTAGACTGAATAACTAGACTACTGTTTAAAAAGAGTATTCTTAACTTATTATTGAAAAATGTGATAACAAAAACTGTATTTTGATATGACACAGACAACTAATAATAGAATACCGTTTCTCGAAACTTTAAAAATAGTTTTAAGCATAATAGCTAGACTACTACTTCTGTAGCCAACAACAACAAACAGTAGTCTGATTTTTTTTAACTACTGTTTTTCCATAAACCGTAGTTAATGAACAGTCGTCTAACACTGTTTTTGGCGTAGTGTAAACACAATCTCTTGAGCATAAGACAATTGTGTGACAAGGGAAATTGTGTGACCTTCGATTCTAAATCATGCATGGTAGAATGTCTTAGTGACAATAAGATGATTCTTCATGGTGATAGAATAAATAACATTTATATGGTTAACTTAGATGAATCTCCCTCCGACTTTGCCAAATGTCTCATGAGTAAAGAGGACGATATGTGGCAATGGCATCATAGAGTAGCTCACGTTAACATAAACCTTTTGAACAAATTAGTTTCACAAGACCTAGTAGTTGGTCATCCAAAACTCAAGTTTGAGAAGGATACCATTTGCGATTCATGTCAAAAGGGCAAGCAAGTAAGGGCCTCATTTAAATCGAAAACTGTTGTGTCTACAACAAGGCCCCTACAACTTTTGCACATGGCTCTCTTTGGACCATTAAGAACAAAACGTTTTGGGGGAAACTATTTTTCCTTTTTGATCGTTGATGACTACTCTCGATTCACATGGACATTATTTCTAACTCACAAAAGTGAGGCATTTCATGTTTTCAAAACTTTTCTCAAAAAGGTTCAAACTGAAAAAGGCTTAACCACCGTAGCCATATGAAACGATCATGGCGGAGAGTTCGAACGAGATCTCTTTACAGCACCCTTTCCGCTGCGTTAACCAAGCCTCGTTTCTCAACAGCCTTGACATCACCCTTTCTTGGATTGACACCAACGTCTCCCAAATGGCCCAAAACATCAACATTTTGAGTCGTAAGCTTCACGGGTATTTTGACTTTGTCAACTACCCTTATGCTCAAATGGTCCCTTACGTTCCTCCGCCAAACTTTGGGGGTGAACCAAGTGGGACAAATGACGTTAGAGTTGAAGATGGCGAAGAAGAAGAAGAAGAAGAAGAAGAAAAGGAAGAGGAAGACATCGTCGAAGACCAACTCCTCGATGATCTCTCCCCAGATTTCTAGAGCTCTAGCTCTTTTCTCTTTTCTCTTCCTATTTTTTATGCATTTTAAAATTTGCTTCTGTTGTGTACTCCGCTTTTTCCCTTAATTTAAAAAAATAAAATGTTTATGGTTTTTAAATCTTTTTGTTAATGTCAAAAGGGGGAAGATAAGAGCTATGCATTTATTAAGGGCAAATTTATTAAGGGGGAATTTTTTTCAAGATCAAAACCCTATGCATATTCCCGTCTTGTTTTCCATTATCAAAAAGGGGGAAATTTTTGGAACACACTTTTCATTGCGTTAAACTAAAGTCGTGTTCATTTCTGGCATGTTTTGATAATTGCCAAACCGCCGTGGCTATGAAGAGTTTCGTTGAACAACTCAAGGCGTGAACAGTGGCATGGAACAAGATCAAAAGACTCAAGGACAAAGATCAAAAATTGAAGACTTAGTCGAGTCGGTCTTAGTGTGATCTAACTGACAATCAATTCAAGTTTCGGTTCTCAAAGAGTCAAAACTATTTTACAAAATCACAAAACGTTTTTTTACATCAAAATAAACGTTTTAAATAAAGTGTTAATGTATTAAAATCCCTGGTCCTAGCCCAGACCAAAAACCACCTCGGTCGGTGTTCAGCGTTCGGCATCGGCGTCCGGCATTCGGGGTTCAGCGTGACATTTTTGGCGTCCGAACCAACTCGGTGGTTTTCAGTATTTTAAACCTCGTTTTTACCTCTGGGCATATTTAAAAGGTTCCTAAACGATTATTTTATAAAAACCACATTTGTATCTTGGTCAATCGGTCTAACACGTGAAAAACGGTCAAAACCGTACACACGTGAAAAATGACCTCGAAGACTTATTTTTTAACAAACAAGTCTTGGTTTCACTATTTTATGCCATATAGAATGTTTTTCAAACTCGTTTTTACTTTTGGGAACACTTCGTTTTTGGACCTCGGCTTTTCGGGTTAAGTTTCTCGCAGGATGGTTTTGACCAGCTGATAATCGATTGTCATATAGCAATAATCGACCGTTGGCTGCTGCAGGTTCTAAACATTAAGTTCAGAACCATCCAATAATCGACTGACACCTTCTGTCACTCGATTATCCGAGTTTCTTGTTCAAACCAAGAAACTTCTAAGAGGCCTGATAGTCAACTGACACAAGTTGAAAATCGATTATCAGTATTACCGTTGTCCTCCAACGGATAGAATTTCAAATTTTTGGACAAAGAATCTTTTGACAATCGATTATCATGGTTTGACAATCGATTATCACTCTGCAACTCTGAAAATTTTGTCCTAATCCTGTTGGAAATTTTGCAACGGATTTATCCCATTTTAGGCTATCAAATGGCACCCAAATCCTATCATTTTACACACAATTGTTCAACATTTCAATACACTTTAATTACATAAGCGATTCCTATTTTTCATAGCTATTTGAGAGCCAATTCTTGAAGAAATTGTCGTGTTCTTGAGCGTTTACTAGTTCACTCATATCTACTCTTTTTGAGAGTTTTATTTTAGAGTGTTTAAGTGTTTCTATACACTTTAAGGGAGGTTTGTTCCCTTGTTGTAAACTCGAAGGAAGTCTTTGTTCCTTCGTGAGAAGTCTTGGAGTGTGGTATCTCCAAGCAAAGGCGTTGAGGCTCGTGTGACTGGGGTTCTCAAGTTGTATCGGTTTGTTGAGCACCTTTAAGTTTAACGGAGTTAGTATAGATCGAGAGAGTTTCTCGGGGGGCTGGATTAGCCACACGTTGTGGTGAACCAGGATAAAATTCGGTGTGCTCCTTCCTTACGCTCTTTATTTTATCGCTCTCGTTTTTAATTTCCTGCGATTTTGTTTTAAACTCTATTCACCCCCCTCTAGCACTGGACCTATATTCTAACAGGAAGAACCAGTGAAGGGATGTTCAATGAGCCCATTTTAAATAACACTTTTCAAATTCCATGATACTGACCATACAAGGTGTGCTCTTGCCCTTGTGATGAGATATTGAGGTGATAGAATTAAAGTCCCCTCCAATAAGCCATGGGTCAGTAATGGAGCCAGAAAGGGGAGTGATACAATGCCAAAGGTTCCTTCTTTCTTCCTTGGTGTGCTTACCATAGATGGCTGAAATATGGAGTTTTGATCTCAGGAGTTTGCTTGTGAAAATTAGATGGCCTAGTTGGGTGTGGTTGGAAGAGGATTCCAAAGTCAGTAGATTTGTTAGAAGGCCCAGATTTGGTTGTTACAGAGTTGAACTGAAGAGTCAAAACCCAGGCCCATATATATATGTATATTTGTGTGTGTGTGTGTACACACACAAGTGTCTGTGTGTGTGTGTGTATATATATATATATATATATATATTATTTAAAGAGAAATCTTTTATTAATGAGAAGAGGAAAAAAGTACAATAGGAGGGGGTGGTCGTCCCCAACACAAGACCAAAGCAAAGACTCAAAAACAACAAGAAAGAAACCGAAAGCACTAAAAAACAGAAGAAGAGGAACATGCTACTGAGACAACCCATGAAATGTCAACAATCTCTTGAGGTTAATTTCACTGCCAGTTAATACCCAATTGATACATGACATGAAATCCAGTCCTTCCTTATGTTCCAAGCGAGAAATCTAGTCCAGCATTCTTTTCCATCTGTTTGGTTAGGCAGCAGCTTTTCCAAAACCCAAAACCCACATTGATTAATCGTTTGAATGAAAATCTCAACATATAACTCTCAGTTACAGGAGTAAAAAAGAACCAATCAGGGATGCACCAATCTTGAGGGTAAGCTCACCAAACAGGACTTGGATCAAAAGACCAGACATTCTCCAAATCCAGAATCCAAGAAACTGCAGCAATGAGATTACTACCAACCAAAAGCAATAGCCCAGGACTGCCAATCTTTTAAAAACCATGGGTCATATTCCTCCAAATAAGAACAACCAAAAAACGCAGAAGACCAACATAATCAAAGGGCCAACAATTGTAGCTCAAAATAAAACTACCCTTGCCTAGAACAATCTTGCAAAATGCTTAGCTTCCCTAAAATGCCTAGCTATTCCTCTTGAGGCCCGCCTGTCCCCCTTTCACCGTTCTTGTCATTACCCTTTTGAGTTAAAGCACAGCTTGCAGTCTCATCTAGCATACTCGCAGGAATACGGGAGCCATTCCTCAACCTTCAAAACTTAGATAAGCCATGCCATGATTTCTTGGTGAATGTCCAGTGACAGCAAGGACTCTTCTAAAAACCTTGAAATGCGTTTGGGTTTGCTCCAAAAGGGAAGTGGGGGCTTGCTTGTAAAGTTCCAGTCAAGTGTCTGATTTAGAATGTAAATTGGAGAATACTGCACCACAACTTTCAATAGCAATCTCCATGGTGAAAACTGATTTGAGGCCATGGTAATCTCTAAAAATCTAAGCAATTTAATCGGAGAAAGAAATATAGAAAAACCACCAATGCAGCAGATACTAATCAGCAAATATATTATATATCAAAGAAGTCCTCATCATCATAACCCATATCAGATGCCTCTCTATGTTTCTTTTTCTTTTTCAACTTCTTTTTCTGACTTTTGGTCATAGGCTTTTTAGGAGGTATAGGTTCTTCTTTTTTGTTTGGACCGAGCTTGAAAAAATTTATTACCTCTTCCTCATGAGATTGAGGATCATCTTGCTCATATATATATATATATATATATATATATATATATATATATATATATATATATATATATATATATATATATATATATATATAGACACACACACACACACACACACACACACATATATATATACATATATATATATATATATATATATATATATATATATATATATATATATATATATATTTGATAGATCTCCAATCACATCTTTGAAACAATATCCAGAATTGTGATTTAAAAAAAATGTGATGCAGATTTGCAAGTTGCCTGAGCTTTGGGAGATGGAAACTCTATTACAGCATAATACAACATTGATAAACAGTGTTTTTTTGTTAGCAGGAAGAGAATGTCAATGATGTCCAAACGGGGCGCAAGAGGAGATTTGAATTACCAGCCTGCAATTGGGTATATCCCCAAACATTTTTTTACAGCTTCATTAGGCTTCTGGTTTTCCCTTTCTTCCCTTTTCTTCTTCTCCCTGGTCACATATTCTTTCATAAGCTCTTTAGCCTGGACCAGCTTAGAGAGTAAATTGCGATAAACATCAAGATCCCTGTCCACACTTTGTTTGTTCACATTCAAGGCAGCACAAAGCTTCTCTAAGATGGTTGGTTCCGTTGCATTTGCTAGCTCAAGTAGGCGGAAGAGTCCAATTGCGAAGAACCGACTGTAGCTAAAACTGCCCTTTGTGGCGGCTCTTTTTGAAATGTCTTTTAGGATGTTTTCAACCTCTCCTTCTCTTGATGAAAACTCAACAAGACTATTGGCATTCTGAATGCTCGCCCACGCTTCTAACTTTTGTGCATCAATTCTGTACTGATCAGGATCCTCGTTCAATGCCTTGATATATGCTCTGAAAATAGCCTCTTTGTCCTCCTCGGTCGGATAGCCTTCCAATATATATATATATATATATATATATATATATATATATATATATATATATATATATATATATATATATATATAATACAAGTGTTCCATAAAGAAAACAGATGAACACAAATATCCAACAGATAGTACTTTTGAAATGGGCCACTTAAAAACTGTTATAAAGCTGGAGGCCTCCAAGTCACATGCTTCTAACTGAGTCCGTCCACCAGGAAGGTGGCTTTGAGATCTGTGGTCCAAGAAAAGTTTATTGAATGGGGCCATTATCCTCACCTGAACTGCCAGCAAACAAACATGCCTCCTGTCCATTGAATGCAAAAACTAGTGCTGTAAAATAACCCTTTCATAATACCTATGACCTACCCACTCTTATTGACATGAGAAACTTAATATGCAGCACCAAACCAGTGTGATCGACTTGTTCTCATCTCTCAAAGCTCTGAAAAGAAATGTTTGCTTGAGCTTGCAAGAAGAGGATTGAGTATCCCAAGTCAAGTGCTCTTCCAAAGTACCAATACCGAAAGGTCGAGCTAAGGAGCCAGAATGAAGCTCAAACAAGCCTCCGAAACTGCGTTCAGAAACTGAGGCCACAGAACCGATCAAAACAGTGTAATCTAAAGCCTTATTCCAAAACAAAGGATCCTAAAATTGCACCCAATGGTTACAAATCAGCCACCACAATGTTTACTAAGCCAAAACTGCTTGATACTAAACGAGATGCTAAAGAGGGAAAAGACCCGCATAACCTTGACAGCTTCCAAACTAACTGCGTAGAAGGCTAGGAGAACCATGGTGTCCCGTTCCAAATATGAGAGTTATAAATAATATGAGAAATCATAGTCATCCTCAATATCATCCGTATCCATTGTATTATTTGCGCCGAGTGCTAAGTTAGCCATCGCCAAAGTTTGTGCATGTTTGAGTTTCTGTTTGGCCTTCCTTTTTGTTTCTTGCTAAGTTTTGGTTGAGATTCCAAAGAAGGTGCACTAGACTGGTTTTTCCTCCCCCTGATTGTCGGGCATGTCTTCTTGAATGCGGAGCGGATGCCCTTCACAGTAAACTCTCCCTCATCTTCAGATGTGTCAACTCCCTTAATGGGATTTTCTTTCCTTCCTGCAGCTATTATCTTAGCCCTACTCCTAGTAACCATATGAGATGGTGAAAAGGTTGGCTTACCCTTAGCAAATTTAGGAAGCAGCATCGACACCTTAGAGCACCTAGAGGTGTTTATTCTAATTGGTTCAACTTTGGAGTAAATAAACACCGTAGTTTCTCCTTCCTAGTGGGTGTACATCGGTTTCTACCTATATTCTACGCTAGTTTAGTGTTTCGACTTCATTCTTGAGAACCGAATCTTAATGAATTTTTGTTATACCTGAAACACTTAAACAAAAGTTAAGCTCTTATATTGTTTGTTAGCATCAAAACACGAGGCTTAGCAAACCAAGGCTAACAGATTTCTCATGTTATATATATATATATATACACACACACATACATACATATATATATATATATACATACATATATATATACATACATACATATATATATATATATATATACATATATATATACATATATATATATACATATACATACATACATACATATATATATATTTATATATATATATATATATATATATATATATATATATATATATATATATATATATATATATATATATATATATATATAGTGGTTCCCCCCTGTAGAGATGGTCACAGGGTTGATTAGCGAACCACACCACCCGGGTTCGATCCTTAGAAGGGGCAACTTTGGGGAAATTTTAAGGGAGTTAAGCGTGCTGGTCATGGAGTAGCAGAAATGATGGGTGACCCCCTAGGAAATGTTTGCAGATTTATGGGGTTGGGCTTAGATTGTGCTTCTTATAGTGGGCTATCTGCCTCGGGTGTTTAACAGGCCTCGGGCCCCCTACTTGTAATCGACCGTTCCAATAATATATATATATATATATATATATATATATATATATATATATATATATATATATATATATATATATATATATTGAAAGAAAATTTTACTAAGTGATTCGAATAAAGGTACAAAAGGAGTCAGAGTGGATCGCCCCTCTAACAGATGGAGGTAACTGTGCTAATACATTGAATGATCGAAACAAGTTATTTGTGAGAGCGTAACGTGCGAGAGAGTAAGCTGCCGTATTTTCCTCTCTGAAAATATGTCTTGCTAGACCTCTATTTTTTGCCAGCAGCTGATGAATCTCGTTACTAAAAAGGTCCTCCTGTTTATTCTCCGTGATTCGTTTCACCGCATTTTTTGCATCTAAGTGGATGTTAATGGGTTCTGTTGTGATACTAACAGCCCATTTGAGGCCCATTAGTGCAGAAGCCAATTCTCCTTCTTCACTGTTTTCTATTCCTTGGATTATTGCTGACTTTGCTCCAATGAATCTTCCTGTGCCTGTGCGTAGGATTGCTCCGCCACACATAATATCATCTTTCACCGCAACATCTGTACTAAGTATCAGCCCTTCCCTTGCGCTTGTCCAGGGGAAGGTGTGAATTGCCGGTAATGAAATGAATGGGATGGACGAGTGAGTGACGCTGATTCTCCTCTTTCCTTTTACAATTGTCCATTCCAGCAACTTTTTCCAGATCATATGGATGATTTGGGTTTCGGTTTTTGATTCGTTTTCATAAGTTCTTCTGTTTCTCTCCTTCCAGATTTCGTGCGCTATGATGCCTGGAATCATCTTGCGTTCTGCTTGACTTTGCTGGTCAATACTATTGCTCCTCCACCAGAGCGACAGGTAAGAGCAAATTCCATGTGTTGTAGTTGTCGTGACCTTGAAACTAGATTCAAAGTGTGCCCAGATATTTTTACTGAATCTGCAATCCTTGAGTGTGTGGTTCGCATTGTCTTCATTGTTCTTGCAAAAAAGACACATAGAAGGAAGGTTTTGCCCAAACCGGGTGAGTTGTTTAGGGAAAGGGAGGATGTTGTAGTAGATTTTCCAAAGGAAGATAGAAATAGATGGGATCTGTTTTTTATGCCACACAGATTTTAGGAATGTTTCTGTGGGGGATTTCTCTCTCAGAGCTTCATAGGCTTTCCTGATAATAAAACCAGAGTGGGTGTCCCAGAAGGGGTTATTCTCATAGGAATCAACAATGGTTTTTGCTGAAAGGAGTCTCTTCCAATTATGAGAATCAGTAGGTTTGCAAGTTGTCTCCAGACCTGCTGGGTATCTGTTGTGCATAAACCTGGCCCAGAGGGAGTTATTGAGAGTATAGCTCCATAACATCTTAAGACCATATGCTTCCTGTAAGGTTTCAAGTTTGTGAAACCCAGACCTCCTTCATCTTTTGGGCAGCAAAGGGCTGCCCACTTCTTCCAGTGATAATGATTTTTCCCTTCTTTGTTGCCCCATAGAAAATTGCTCATCTTAGTGTGAAGGCAGTTGATAACACTCTTGGGGAGTTTAGAAGAGCCAAGGAGATGTAGAGGGATAGAACTAAGAACATGCTTAATTAGAATCATTCTCCCTCCTTGTGATAAGAATTTTTTGTACCAACCTTTAGGCTTGTGATCAAAGTGGTTGAGAAAATCAGTACAATATTTGAGTCTGTTGATTCCTTTGTGGATTTGGGTTCCCAGGTATTTGAAGGGTAGGGAACCTCTCTTCATGCCAAGTAATTTCCCATTCTGTTGATTTGTTCCACTTGGGTTTTCTTTGGAGGGTAGAAAAAACTTTTGTGAAGATTTATGGTCTGCCCTGAAGCATCTTCATAAGCTTTTAGGAAATTTGAGAATCTAGCCAAATTTTGAGTTGTTCCTTTAAGAAAGATCAGAAGGTCATCTGCAAAGGCTAGATGAGAGATGATTTGTGAGTGTCTCCCCATGTTAAAAGGTTCAATCTTTAGAGTGTTGACTTTGTAGTGCAGGCCCCTACTAAATCCTTCAGCTGCCAAAATGAAAAGAAGAGGAGAGAGTGGGTCTCCTTGTTTGAGCCCTCTCTTGGGTTGGAAGGGTTTGGAAGCGTAGCCATTTATGTTGATGGAGAGGGTAGTTTCTTTAAGATTGTTGAGGATCAGATTGATAAATTTATGATCAAACCCCAGTTTCCCTAGAATGGCTTGTAAATAGTCCCAAGATACCCTATCAAAAGCTTTGGACATATCCAGCTTAATGGCAATATTGCCTCCTCTTGTCTTGTAGTCCAAGTTCTGGATGATCTCCTGGGCAATCAGAATTTGGTCATGGATCTGTCTTCCTTTGACAAAGCCACCCTGTTCCTCAGAGATTAATTTAGGAAGTAAGTCTCTTAATCTCTGAGATATAACTTTAGTATTAACTTTTGCTCTGAGATATATATATATATATATATATATATATATATATATATATATATATATATATATATATATATATATAATTTAATCATGGTTCAATTATCAGTCAATAATCAATACTAATCATCGTAATATTTAATAAAAAATAATGGCTTAGTGTCGAGTGTTAACACCATAGCTTACCTTCATGCGTCAAATGTGATTCTTAATTTGATCGAAACGTAATATTTATCTTGGAAATTATATTAATACTAATTTATAGTTGAAAGATAGCAAAAATAGGATTTTATGGCTTCAAAATCAGATTTTCTAGTGTTGGGATAGCTCAGAATGGTCGACCATTATTGTACAACACTCGGCCGTTACTGCCACCGGGCAACCCGGCTTAGAACGGTCGACCATTACCATCGACGGTTGACTGCTCTTGGTAATGTGCCAGAACGTCACTTGGTTGCGTGACGGTCGACTGTTCCAAGCGACGGTCGACTGTTCTCCAAGTGGTCATCTTCAGCCAAACTTCAATTAAACTACATATAAATGTCCTCTAACATTCATAGACCATTTTTATACCATTAATTCAAAGTTTTAACAACAATTTGAAGGTTTACGATTCTTGTTTCATCAACAATGTCTAACACAAAACTCAACCAAATGACTGTTTATAAACGTAAAAACAATCTATATGAACATTCTAATAACTAAATATATCTAAGGGCTTACCTCGAGCTTCAGAAGAAAGCCACGGCTTCTTCTGGCAGCAACGGACTGTGGCAGCTTTCTCTCCACACTCTAAGGAACACTGTGGTATTGATATTGAAGAAATTGATGAAGAAATTAGAATGTTGAAGGTTTCTCATATAGTGGTTGAGGTGAGTAAGGCTCTGTTCCGTACGCCTGATCTGATTAAATTTGATCTGAATTTTTAAAGTTTTGATTTGATCTGATTGGATCTGATCTGATCTAATTCGATCTGATCTGATCTGATGTGATTGGGTCTGATTTGATCTGATTGGGTCTGATCTGATCTGATTTGATTAGATCTAATTTGATTGAATCTGATTTTATCGAATTAGATTTGGTGTAAATGTATTTAAATTTAATTTAAATTAAACTTAAAATTATTACAAAATTTAATAGTTTTAAAGTATTACAATTCATATATACATAAAAAAGTAAAATAAGAAAATTAGCTAATACTTTTTTAATTTTTTGAAAACTAAATAATCAGTATTAAAATAGCCAAATATTAGAAAGTATTGATGTTATTCTACAGAAATATCCCATTCTATATGCATATTACATAAGAATAAATTTCATGTTACAAATTAAAGATCATATAAAATTTTAAACACTAATATCCCTTTCACCTCTATCAAGTTTGTCAAAAACTCACTCTTGTGTATATTATATCATCTTAAAATTTGAAAGTAAGTCTTTTTATGTATAAAATATTTATGGTTTTGAAAACTAAGTATTTTATAATTATTTTTAAACTATGAAAGATACAACTTTTTAAGCTTTAA